TTAATTCTAAAACAAAAAAATAGATTAAAAATATTTAATAGAAAATATTCATAATACATATTTTCTTAGTAATTATAATAAAATATTTAATTATTAATTCTACTTTGTCCTATTAATTTATTAAAAATTCTATTTGAACATTAAATAAGAATGTTATAGATTGTATTTGTTCTGAGGAGATGTTGAGATTCCTGTGCAGCTCTTACCTGCAGTCTATTCTGGAAATGTACGCGAGCCGGCTCTTGTTGGGTCCGCAGGGTTCGATGTAATAGCGAGAGGTCAGAACATTAGCACGAACACCCAGGACCCCTGCACTCTCGTGATCCACTGACACACACACCAAAGCACACACTCCCTTGGGCAAGTCTGTCATCCATGACCTGAAACACAACAACAACAAAAACACTCTTAGGATTTTTATAAACACAAAATAAATATTTGGTTTTGAATTTAAAGCACAGTTATAGAATAATAATAATAATAAAAAACATAAGACGACTGAGTGTTTGTAATCACCTGAGCATCACGTAGTCTCTTGGCGGATGGGGCGCCATTGAGTTCCTGACGTACTGATAGACTTCCGTGTTATGCTCCAGTGTCTCCACGATCCTGCACTCTAACAGGTCCTCATCCCAGCGTTCCTGCTCCCGCAGAATCCGCTGCAAGACGTCCTCAGCCGATGCAGGCACGTCCACGCACACTTTCCACTGTCGCAGAGACGACCCGTCCTGGACCTATCATGAAAGACGATGACGCTACAGTCATTAACACTTCCAGCACAATCATCTCGTTACTTTTGTTCGTCACTAGCAGGATCACCGCAGTCATCAATGTGATTTCATCCTAGCTCAGAGGATGCCCAGTCTGCTCCTGGAGGGCCACTGCCCTGCAGAGTTTAGCTCCAACTTGCCTGAATGCACTTAACAGGAAATTCTAAATATTCCTGAAGACCTTGATTAACTGGTTCAAATATGTTTAATTAGGATTTGAGCTAAACTCTGTTGGATAGAGGCCTTCCAAGAGCAGGATTGGACAGCCCTACTTCATGGGTACATGAAATACTGTCCAAGGACTAGAGAACTGAGTGAACACAAGTGTGTTTTGGTCGATGAGAAGTGCTAGAACAACCGACAAACTGATGTCATGCTGGGCTCTAGGCCAAAACAGAGCTGGGAAATGATACTTTCACATGAGAAAAAAAAAAGCGATATAAGAAAAATAGACAGTTTTTCCTTTAGGCACAATCAAGAAAATGAGCAAAGGAAGTGAGCGTGAACATGTAATGGAAATATGAAAAAGAGTGACCAAGTGACTCGAATAGGGAGTGTATTTATATAGTTTCTTTACCTTCTTGTATGCAAGCTCAGCGTTTTCAGGAGTTGAGCAGCTGTCATAACCCTTGAATTTGTCCTTGGCTTCTTTAAACAGGGCATCAGTACTGTCTTTGAGGAGACTTTGGTAGCTACAAGAACCGCAGTCTTCCACCAACACCTCCATCCGCATGGGACTCAAGCCCTGTTCCATGTAAGAGTTCCTACAGCGTGACATCTCTTCTGGGATCTGAAACACAAAGAATTAAAATAAATCCTAAAGTGAGGCTTTTTCATTCTGAACCTTATGATGCTTTGGTATTAGTCAGGCTGGTAGAGCAGCAGAACCATAATATTTACCAGCAAATCTAAGGGTACACTGTAAAAAAAAAAATCTGTAGTTTTTACAAAATAATTTTGACAGCTGTGGTTGCCAGAATAATTTTGTAAAAAAAAATACAGAAAAACTGTAAAAACATTTGCAGAACAAACTAAATTTTACAGTATAAAACTAAGAATTTACAAACAAAAAAATTTGAGTGTAAACTAGCAAATTCAACAATGCACACTGCTACTAAAATCTGTTTTGAATCTTTAACATAAATTGACAACCACCATACTAATGCAGGTGGTAAAAGAGACCGCAATATGAAGAATCAGTTCATCACAAGAAGCTTTTCCACAAGCTGAAGTATATACTAATATAAGAAGATGTAACATAAACCCACATGTACATAACTGATAACAAACATGACAAAACTATTAAGAAACATGATTATTTAAACAAAATATTTTCAAATGTGGAGTGTCACGCAGGGAATTCTGGGACTATCAGTTTACAGGTTTTTTTACTGTAAATTATACGTTGATTTGTTCTTTTTTACTTCTAAAAATTGTACAATTAACAGTATTTTACTGTAAAATTAAAATTAAATTTCTGGTTAGAACTATTACAGTTTCTCCCTGTAAATAGTACAGGAACTTACTGTTAACCTATTGAACATTTTTTTTCGTAGCGTTTTTACAATATTTTACAGTTAAAATGACACTCATTTTTTACAGTGTACGTTTACGCGACGATGTACTAAAAATTAGAACGTTTTTTCTTTGAGTTTTTGAATCCCTGTAAATAGTACAGGAACTTACTGTTAACCTATTTAACTTTTTTTTTTCGTAGCGTTTTTACAATATTTTACAGTTAAAATGACACTCATTTTTTACAGTGTACGTTTACTAAATGTACTAAAAATTTGAACGTTTTTTCTTTGAGTTTTTGAAAAGTTTCACATATATGTGAAAACAATGTATTGTGGTTGTCAAGTACTCGTGCATACCTATAGACTGAATGTAATATGCATGCACATGATCTCACCGCTTTCACAAGTTCACATTTTTGTAGTTTACATGGAGACGATAACAATATCGTTTTCAAAAACCTGCACTTTAAAACCCGTTTTCAAAAGCATTTTCAGGCCCCCGAAACACTGTTGTAGTGTAAACGAACCACCAAAATGCATAAATAGTTTTCCGTTTTTAGTTGAAAACGGTGTCAAACGCCCCCTAAGATCAGCATGATCTTTATGATGAAAAAGTCTTACTAGTTAAGCAACCAGCACACCAACATCCTATTTTAGGGTCCAGCTTAAAAAGACGACATATCCAAGCTAGTCTTTTCAGCAGGGACGCATTAGAGAACAAAATTTATTAAAAGCCAAACTCATGACTAGTTCATAACATGCAAATTAACATTAGCATTAGCTTCCCCAATGGGAGCAACCAGCAAAATGAACATTGTAAGCTCAATTCTACATTACCCACATGGCAAACTATGATGTGGTTGTAGTATACTAGCTTTGTCAGTCTCAAATACTTAAAAAGATGCTTAAATCATGGTTACTTCATACTAATTATACCAAATCAGAACATAACTGCTCTTGGTGCGAGTGAAATGTATGTGAAGGGAAGAGAAGTGATAAGAGTGATTCATTCCTCACTGGAAGTGGCTCATCCTGTTTGTGTGTGTCTTGTCCAGTGTCCTGCCCTGTGAGCACTGTTGAGTGCTTTTGTGCGTGTCCTGTCCTGCTCTCTCTCCTTTTCCTGCCTGACTGACGATGTTTATCATGTCATAGTGCTTGTCCCTTTCCAGTGTGTGTTGAGATTAACTTATCTTCATTCTACAAAAAACATTAGTCTGATGGATAGAGCGGGACCAGACCTTCCGCATCAGATTTAGGGGCAGAAGACCTTTAATACAAGATGCTATCTTTCCATTTCTCATTTTAGATTATTCGCTCTCTATAAATAGCCCATTAAGAAGAAAATAACTTTATTATGATAAAAAAAAGCAGTGGCATATGGTATAACAATAAGTGCAAGTGTTTAGGTGAGCATTACAACACAATGCTGCTTTGTGGATGATACAAAATTGAATTTCTTATGTTGTTCAACTTCTGCTGACTTTCATTATTTTACACTTATCCAGTTAAGAGCTTCCTTTCTGACCTCTGAATAGGTACTAAAAGTGAAAGTGTGTGTCTATGAATGTTTATACGTCGCAAAAATGGTTTGTTTGGACAAACTAGTGGTTAATATGTGATACATTTGTGGCCAGAGGTTAGCTACATATTCACAAAATGTTTTCTACAAATCACTTCATGTAAAACATTTTCAGAGTTTACTGAAAATAGTAATAACAATAAGAAGAATGACACATTATTATTATTGTTGGTGGTGGTGATGGTATATCTACAGTTTAGTTTATGAATGTGATTTACACACTATTTTAGCCCAGCCCTGTTAATTCTATTAATTTAATTTAATTTGAATAATAAAAATAATAGGAACTTAATTGCAACTTTAAAAAAAAATCATTTATTTGTCTTGAGGACATCTTAAAGGGTTAGTTCACCCAAAAATTAAAATTAGCTTGTGTTTTACTTACCCTCGAAGCATCCTAGGTGTATATGACTTTCTTCTTTCAGACGAATCCAGTCAGAGTTATATTAAAAATTGTCTTTGATCTTTCAAGCTGTTTAATGGCACTCAGCGGGTGTTGCAGTTGAACAGTCCACAAGTCGTGATTCATTCCTCACTGGAAGTGGCTCATCCTGTTTGTGTGTGTCTTGTCCAGTGTCCTGCCCTGTGAGCACTGTTGAGTGCTTTTGTGCGTGTCCTGTCCTGCTCTCTCTCCTTTTCCTGCCTGACTGACGATGTTTATCATGTCATAGTGCTTGTCCCTTTCCAGCGTGTGTTGAGATTAACTTATCTTCATTCTACAAAAAGCATTAGTCTGATGGATAGAGCGGGACCAGACCTTCCGCATCAGATTTAGGGGCAGAAGACCTTTAATACAAGATGCTATCTTTCCATTTCTCATTTTAGATTATTCGCTCTCTATAAATAGCCCGTTAAGAAGAAAATAACTTTTGGTAATAGCCATAGATTGAGTTATTTTCTTATGTTAATGGCTCCACATAATCAACTTAAATTTATTATGATAAAAAAAGCAGTGGCATATGGTATAACAATAAGTGCAAGTGTGTAGGTGAGCATTACAACACAATGCTGCTTTGTGGATGATACAAAATTGAATTTCTTATGTTGTTCAACTTCTGCTGACTTTAATTATTTTACACTTATCCAGTTAAGAGCTTCCTTTCTGACCTCTGAATAGGTACTAAAAGTGAAAGTGTGTGTCTATGAATGTTTATACGTCGCAAAAATGGTTTGTTTGGACAAACTAGTGGTTAATATGTGATACATTTGTGGCCAGAGGTTAGCTACATATTCACAAAATGTTTTCTACAAATACACAAGCTAATTTTCAGTTTTGGGTGAACTAACCCTTTAAGATATCTGTTCTAAACATTATTGTTATATGAACTAGAAAAACAGAAAAACCTCACTGTATCCATAGAAAATAACACTGCTATCTGTAACCATGGCTGCTAATTCTGATTCTGTATTTGTATGTTTATGCGTGATTGTATGGGTAATTAGGAAGGATTGGTCATTGCGTAACGACTGCATTAATCTTAAAATAAATTCAACAGAGCTTTTTGGTAGCTGTTTTGGTAACAGATGTGCTGTAGCGTGAGTGTCTGCACATGTTAAATGAGCGCGCATTTGTCTTTGTACCTGAGCTGCGTATGACACAGAGAAACATCTGGTGCAGTGTGATAAGACCACTATAGTTTGATACTGTTTCTGACACAGTTTTGATAACGCTGATGTGCGTGAGAGATTTTGTTTGCTTTTTTCTTAAAACAGAAGGGAACAGTGTGTGTTTATGTTGGACAGAATGTACTCAAAGGTAAAGTCATGCTCACCAGGAAGAGTTTTCTGCACTCCTGTATCATATGTGCTAAGCCATGTGTGGCAGCCAGGTTCTCGTTTAAGTCCCTTTGGTCTGGTTTTCCCAGGGTGTTCTTTCTGTTCATGACTCTGTGATAAGGAAAACACATGAAAAGGGATAAACGGATAAAGTAAAAAAATATGTTTGATGCAAGCACTAATCTAATCTCAAAATTATCAAACTCAATTTAATGCTACATTTTGAAGTGCAGCGGGCATTCAAAGCCTTACAGAAGTCATCTCTCTCTTTTTTTACCCTATTCTTCCCTAGTTTCCTATTTTTATGGGGTGGTTATTGAAGCGAGTATAATTACATGGTTTGAGGGTTTGAAGTAGCCGCATGCCAAATATGATGGCACCTCAAGCACTTTGCAATTAAAAAGATGAGTGGATCTAGGTGAAGTGTGTTAACAGATTGCACACACACACACACACACACCTGGGTGAGGAGCTCTCTCTCCGCAGTGTGTTGAGGTGGAAGAGAGAGGGGGCCAAACACACGGCCAGGTTAGTGCAGGTCATCTGGTTTTCACCCACGCTGGCCGTTACATCACTCAGGAAGCACAGCAAAGTCTGCAGGGCTTCGCGGTTCTCGTCCGGTAACAGCAATACGGCGGCCCTCACCGCCTGCAGACGCTGCTCTTTGGGAACATCTGAAAGTGACAGAGGTGTTTCATTAGTTTACTCTGAACACACTGTATACGTATGATTGTATGCAGTGGTACAGATATATAGTGCACTCCATTGAACTCCATTTTTATTTTTAATATTTGAATATTTAAATTTTTTATATATTTTTTATTATATTTTAATCTAAAAATGTAAGCTAATACAATCAATACACCCACAACACTATCCTTTTTCATTATGTCATTCAGAGGAGGAAGGAAGGGAGTTAGTCCATGATCAGGAAAGGGTGTTTAAGCTTCAGAAACCAACAATATAAACCAAGTAGACTGACAGAAGAATCTAGTACACTGCACAATCTGTATTTTCAGCATATCTGCAACATGCTGTAATGTGCCACTGAAGAAAAGCGGCTTTTAAACAGCAAAGGATGGATTGATGTGAACTGAAATGTCATGTATGGAATTGTCTGTGAGTGTTCATCAGATGATTTCTGTTATTTTCGCCCTTGGGAATGAAAGACCCTGTGTGAGCACAAAACAGGCACACACAAACCCTTGCTTTTCTGTGTGGGATGCTGAGACCTCCCTTGTGGTTGGAGTCAGCTATAGACTATAAGAGAACATATTTGTGCTGGCTGTTTTCTCCGTAATTGTGGTTGTGGTAACAGACCACTTTAATCAAACTATTTTCCTGAAAGACTGGAGTTATTGTGAGTCTTAATGTGAGGTACAAGCCATCTTGTCTCTAAAAGTCTATTCTGGCCTGTTCAAACAATAACAATGTACCATAATATTGCAGTATCGATATAATATCATGTTCTGTTCACTATAAATGGAAGAATCATTGTAAATTTTCGACACATGGCCAACAGACCTCTATTAGAGACATCTATAAAATTCTATTATATTCTTGTTAAATTTTCTTTTAAACATTGCATGACTAAATGTAACTGATAATTTATAATAAAATAAATAAACAGAAAAATGCTGCTTCAAACCAAACTAAATTTCATAAGCATGCACCTTGGCATCATCTACACACTAATTTATGAATGTGTTTGCAGTTGTTCAAGATTCTGATATTTGAGGTGAGCACACACACACACACACACACATTAGAGTGTGTGTGTGCTGTGAAATAGCTGTGGTAAGTAGTAAGAACACACTTGTGAGTTACTGATTTATAGGTGCCAAAACATAATTTGACAGCTATTTCCTGAACTTGTGTAGATCTCTCTAGAATCTAGAGTAAACTAGTTGTAAGATGCCCTCTGGATATGAAATGCCTTGCTCTTTTAATGTGATTGTTCTTGTTTCAAACGCTGAGAAATCATTGTCTGTGAGTACATTTTGTGCAGGCATATGTCAGTGCAAGTGTGTGGTCTTCTACAAAACACCTGAAAGGTAAATTCTATTAATGTTCTTACACTGATATATCTGCAGAAAGGTATCAGACAATTTGCTGGTAAGCAGAGGCTCTGGAAGGTCTCGGAAATACTGCTTTAGCATGTCGGCCACGTCATAAGCTGATTGGCCCTCATAGTTGACTCCGCCCCCACCAGCGCCACATGACTCGTTCATTTGGCGAAGGGCTTGGATACGTGACTTCACCCCTGATTTCCTAAACAGCCCCACCTGTATAGAAAAATAGTAAGACATTTAGTATAAATAGTAAAAGCACGTAATGCAATTATGCCTAAACAAGTTTTGAAGTCTTTAAATGCAGGCTTTTAAAATTATTCATCTCATTTTGACAATTCTTTCGTATTCTCTCTTTTTTTTTTTCAAGCTGACAGCTGAACAGAAGGATTACTGGCGTGACCATAAGTCGTCCAAACACAGGAAAGGCATCTCTAGGAAAACTCCCTACCGCTTCTTACATAACCCAGTTATGAAGCCTGGAAAAGTCTAAAATTGTAACTGTTATGTCAATTGTCAAGTAGTCTTCTCATCTGACATCTGAGAGAGAGATTTGTCTAAAGTCCATAGATCACTTGCTTTCTCTCAAACACCCTTGAAATGGAATGTCAACCATGTGGCTAACTTTGGTAATATGTAACTAGTAGATATATGGAACCAGGACATTCAGGCGTTTTGAGGTTATTGTGCTATGTGCAAACTTGGACTGAGAGTGTTGTACTTAAGTATGTGGTGATAAAACAACAGATGGCTTGTGCTTAAATTTGGCCGTGTTGCATGTAGCAACACAACAGGGACCATGCAACTAAACAGCTGTTCAAATAGGGATCATTTAACTAGGTTATGACCTTGACCAGACATTTTAATTTCTCCTTAAAAATGTCTTTTTTCTTTTACTAGTAAATAATCAGACTGTTGTTTTTCTATAGGGGATTGAATATACCACTGTACAAACCAAAGTTAGGTATGCTATGATGCGTTTGTGCAGTTTTCTGTAAGCTTTGAAGAACACGTTTGGACGTGCGTACTTGCATATGTGCACGTCTGTCATCTCTCACCTGGTCGAGGCATTGGCTCCGTAGGTAACGCATAGCTTGCTGAATACTCTGAGGCAGGGGTTGTCCGCTCCTTTGAACTATCACCTGCAGTGGAACTCCAAACACGCTCCTGTCCTTATAGTCTCGAACCTTGATCCGCTTCATAAACTTGGGAACAGCCCTGTAAAGCATACACAATGTATCAATAAATATAAAGTAACATTACAAACAGCAAAGGGTTAAACATTAGCTTCCAAATTATAGGTCTTGCTAATTTGACTTATTTACTGCCTAACACTGCATATTACTAATTTAATGTTAAGTCATACAGAGCAAATAGTCCATACATAACTAGCAAAGACATTTCTGATATTTTTGCAGAACTTGGCTCGAAGTGTTCAGAGGGACACATGGCTACATGTGAACAGCATGTGTCAACAGGAAGCTGGTTTGTAAGTGTATGAGTGTGTAGATAATTGTGTATTTAACGGGGAAACCTCTAGAAGCTGAGGGGCCACTAAAAGCTGTTTCCACCTTTACAGGCAAAAGGATAAACAATGAGACAGCAGACAATGGCTCTGAGTAGGAGGAGTGAAATGGAATGAATGCACGTGTGGACATATGTGAGGTGGGGTGTTTGTCTTTCCGATCGGCAATGTGTGTGTCTGTGCATGTGTGGATGCCTCTGAGGCGCCAATTACCGGGCTTGTCACCATCATGATGTATGGAGGTTTCACATATTGAAATCTCTCATTTATATGTGCTGATGTGCAGGTGCGTGTAAGTGACCAGTAATAACAGGAACAGGGAATTTATCCGACTGAAAAGCCACAGCTCTGTAATGAGGGGGTCTGACATAACCAGCCCCCAATGGAGAGGATGGAAGACAAAAAGGGGAAAGCGGGAAAGAGAGAGAGACAGAGAGAGAGAGAGAGAGAAGGTAAACTTCATTTTGTGTGTTTTCGTGTTTGTCTGAGTCCTGACCAGCTGAAGCCATGCTTGTTGGTAGGTGTGTATCTCTCCAGTAGAGCAGTAAGTTTGAGCAGGCTGTATTTCTGAAGGAGGTTCATCTGCAAAACTGACTGACATCCAACTTGTAGCACTGTTGATGACAGACTTGGCCTGTGGGAGCTCTGGAAACTTGGCCAGCGCAGTCTCTGAGGTCTGCAACATAAACATTCATACAAACGTTGTACCTAACCGAGCTCAATCAATCACGACATGTTCAAAACATAGACATTATAGACTAATATAAATTAGTGTTTATATAAACTGCAAGACATGAACCATACAGAATTTATTATGGTAACACTACACACAATTGTAAGTACACAGTACAAACTTGAAAGAATAAGTACCTTGAATTACACATATTGTGTATACACACATAAACACAAGCTAACGGATCAGCTGCAGATAACAGGGATTAATCATGGCCTCTATCACCAGGTGGGGGCCGTTAGAATTCCTGTGGTACATTCCACTGGGATTCCATCTACTTCAAGTGTCCCTTGTTATGTAAGGAGAGCCGTTCTGACATGCTCTCTCACTCCCTCTCTCCCTCCCTGTTCCTTAATTCAGCGTGCTTTTTGGCATGATAGTTTTCCATTACATTTTGCCAAAACTCTAAATTACTATAGGAATGGTTTTGGTAAAACTGCCAAACCCCCCCCCCAAAAAAAAGCTTAAGACATCTTTGTCTCAGACACTACTCAGTGTGTTTGTGTATGAGTTTCACCTGTTGGCTCGGGTAAGTGATGCTCCCACACCAGAGTCACATCTTTCACGTGAGCTGAGTGTCTCATCCCTTTCTGCTAGAGGGTTTCCAGTGCTGTCCTGGTCACTACCGTTCTCTGTCTCTTCTAAGCGGTTCTGCAGTGGGGATGATGGACAAGGAGATGCAGAATCAAGGGCTGAATCTGAATCCCCTTCCTCTTCCTCTTCATCCTCTTCTTCTTCCCCAGTTCCTGTTTCTGACCAGGCATTGACCAATTGCTGCAGTCCACTGACTCGCTCCAACACGTCTTCAAGTTTTGACTCCTCCTCTCCTTCTGCTTCGTCCTCATCATCTCCCACTTCTGAGAAAGGAACGTTATCATAGACACTCAATCGACTGTCTAGTGAGGCGGCCGAGCCACTCCGGGGTGGGCGTCGACTTATGTTGTCGCCACCACAACAGGATCCCCCATCCGCAAGTGCTTTAGGAAAAGTGCCAGGCTTGTGGCCTTCAGGCAAGTAGAAGAAGATCACACCTCCTTCCTCTTCTTGTCTCTCTTCTTCCTCCATTCGTCTGTTATCTGAACTCTGATGGTTGCGACGGTTGTTCTCTGCAGTTGAGCTGGGTTCCATCTTCTTACTTTGTTTCTGGTGATTCTGCTTCCCTTCTTGGTCTTCTGAAGGTTGCAGCACAACAAAATTAAATGGGTCAAAGCCTTCCAGGTACATCCCACCTCTCTTGGTGGACCCCGCTGCTGTGCTGTGACTTCGTGCTCTTGAGACTGGACTGGGAGTACTTACAGAACTTCCACTGCTGGCCTCTGATTGGCTACTCCCTGCACTCCCACTGCTTGTCTGTGTTGAATAGGTGATGCTTCGGTTTTGGTTTGCATTGCAATCCAGAGTTGCGATGTCCACACAGTTGAGGCGTCGTAGTTTGTCTTCGTCAAGACCCTCTTTCAGCACCGGCCCACTGATCTCCAGCTTACCTTGACCAGCTACACCCTTCTTTTTGCGCTTGGAGGCAGCATTGCTGCTGGTGCGTAGCCGCAAGCTTTCCATGCGCTTCAAGAAACTCTTTGCTCTTGAACGTGTGCTTTTTTCAGCACCGCTGTTTATCAAGCTTGGTTTTACATCGAATGCAAACGTGCCGCATTCCAGCGGCGATGGAAGCCCATCAGACAGGGAGTCTTCATTGGCACCTGATGTTCCAGAGGAGTAAACACTAGCAACTGAGCTCGTCCTGGTTGTGGTGGCTGTGTAAGCATTGGAGATGGTTGTAGCAGGGCTGGATGGTACAGTGGTACTCAGGGATCCTCCTCGACCTCCACTACCAGCACTGTGCAGAGAGCCCACCTCTGGCTGCTCACTAAGATCTGTTAAGACGCTCTCTGCACTAGCATTAACTCCCTCCTTTAAAAGGGGTCCTCTGGCAAAACGATCATCTTGGGATAGGAAGGGAGTGAAGGAGCCAGTGTCTCCAGCTGGAGGGGAGAATACATCAAGGTCCAGCTGGTCCAGGCGAGACCATCGCTTGCTGTCCCGCTGGAAAGTCCAACGGCCACTTATGGCACATGGCTCATCCTCATCAGAGTCCTCACTCTGAAATAATATGAAAGAGAGTCAAAGCAACGCTTTAATATCAGTGCAGCCAAATACAATAATGACTCAAATCTTACTGTTGCATTAAAAAAATAAAGACAAGTAATGTGAACCTAAATCTGCAACAAAGCATCAAAGTGTTTTTGTTTCAAGTTGATCTGATTTATTCCTACAGTTCATGAATCTAGCATTGTTAGGAGAATTGGTTTGCTTACTCTTACAAGCCTCTTGGGCTTGATAAGGTGTAATATGCATTAAACCAGGGTCCGCTAAAGGAAAAACTTTTACTCTGGTTGGCTTAGCCATGTCACAGCACAGTCACATGTTCACCATTCCCCCTCTCTGCTTTACTCGGGTTAATCTATCTCCTCCCTGAGGGTGGTAGGGATGGAAGGAAGGGGGTGGTGGACACCAAATTCCAGGCCAGCTCTCAGGGTTCACACCCCAGCCTGAGAGGGCAGGTCTGGTCCCATCCCCCATCAATGCAATCACCTAAAGCAAGCCTGGAGAACCACGTCTCCTATGATGGGAGTCCAGGACAAAGGGGTTGGATGGGAGGTGAAAATATTTGAGAGCTACATGATTGTGCTGCAATGCCAGATCTCTATCAACAATTATAGCTGTAGAGTTCACAGCCTGTTAAAATAGTTTTAAATAATTATGTAATTTCCTAAAGCGATTAGGGAGTTAATTTAGTAATTCTAGAATATAGAACTGGTTGACAATTTTCTACCACTAACTGAGTTCGTTGATATCAGTTTAGCTGTAGAACAGACTTTTGGTCCTGGGGCCCTGACAAATCAGTAAAAGCAAAAGTAGTCTGCTGGTTAACAGGGGGTCACGGGATCCAGAGGTGCCTCCTTCACGGTGTATAATAACGGAGGTGACGAAAGTCCGTAAAACTTGGGTTGTTATTTTATAGCCCCTGAGGGCAAGCCTTTGATCAAAAAGAACGAAGACCTGGTGTGCAATGTTTCTTCACTGCCCACCAGAAAATCCAGTATTAATTCAAAAAGACTGTTTTCACTTTAAAATAAGCTTTATGGACAAGATGACAAGGAACAGAGGAGGACTCTACAGAGGCCACCTGAACAGATCAATGCATTCCAGGGATGGTTTCTGCTTGTATGTTTGAAAAGGGCAGATCACTTCCTCAAGTCATCCCCTGACCTCTACCTTTGACTCCATCAACACAAGATGACACTAAAGGGTCATCAGCTTTCTCAACAGGACGCACACTTGACAAGGCTGCCATTGTTCAGACTTACCAGTTTTAAGAGCAGAAAAAGAAGCTGCAGTCAGACATGACGGCTATCTTCCTAATCTCCCTTTTGTGATTACATAGCTGGATTGTTTGTTGTTGCATTCTCTACCTGCATGTAGTTTGAGTCATGGCTTTGGGGCAGTCTTAGACTATACACGCTCACTCTTAAACCGCACTGAGTGACCAACAACCGACCAGCAGAGTGTGCATTCTCTTCCTTTTATGGTATGGAGGGAGGTTTTAGGATGTGTATGGTGAGAAAAACATGAAAAACAGGAGTAAAGAAAATCAGAAGAAGGATGGGAGATAACAAAGCCGTTTATTTGGACATAAAGGCCATTCTGCACTGCCCTTGGGGCCTTGAAAATGATAAGAAAACAAGAACGTCTTTCTAATTAACTGATACAGAAAGCAAACATAAGTTACACACACTTAGGATCTTTTGACTGGACAAAAGAACGCAAGAGGGTAGCAAGTGAAATGATTCAGCAAAATAACGTGAAAGGGACAAGACACTTACTCTTTTTCTTTGAGGGGTGATCTCTAATCTCATAAGAGCACACTTGTTTAGGGTGTTCAGTCTCCTGCAATACACACACATACAGATAAATGAGTGAAACAGTGACAGACGTTTTTCAAACAGATACTTTGAAAAGAACCATGGGGTCGCAAACAAAGGCTAAATCCAGTCATTAACCTACAAACAGACTTTGCCAGAGTCAAAACCCTGGACAGAGACAGAAATAGAGGAGGGGGCAGAGAGATAGAGATACAGACTGAGATAGATGGAGACAGAAAAAGATGAGAAGAGGATGAGGGAGGTGGGAGCCAAGCTGGATAATGAGCTGCTGAGGGATAAACTTCAGGTTAAGGAGGAAGACAGACTGACAGAGAATAAAAAAGGAAGAAAAGAAAAAAAGGAGGTAGAAATCTGGAGTGGCGACAACAATACAACAAAAGAGACGGAAAGCTTATCCCAGAAGCCACCTGGTTGGTGTCATGTGACCCTGAGTTTGGGGGGAATGTGTGTTTGTCTGCATCAGGGGGGCTGGCACCAGAAAATGGCCTCCAGATGTCTGTGAGCTCCAGCTGGTCTCTGATGGACTCTTCTCTGAGTGAAGATACTTCACTTTCTCTTTCTTTCTTTCTTTTTATTATTGTAAGATAATTAGTCTACTGAACTCTGAACATTATCAAAATCAGCTCATTATAAGCCTGACAATGCAAGAAAACCATGTTTAAGTGTGATTTTTGTCTTGAAATTGGCAGTATTTTCTTTGGTGTCAACATCAGATCAAAAACAGACATACGCATAATGGTAATCAGGTTTTAGGAGTTTTGGAGCCATACACAATACGTAAATTATCTAAATGTGACAAAATCTTCCTTTAGGTAAATGTGCGTGTGTCTCACCTGCACAAGGCTTCTATGGCATCTTGATCCAAGAAGTCATGATCTCTGGTAACAGAGGAAATCTCAATCGGGAACTGACCGTCTGAGAAAAAGAGAGGAGAGAACTGAATTGAAAAGAAATTTAATATAAATGGAGAGCCAATAAACAGGTATAGGTGTATTTATGTATGGAAGGGGGGCTGTTGGCAGCAAGTGGAATGTGTGCCTGCCCTCTATCATACACAATCACTCACGCGCACACACACACACACGCACACACAAACCTCCCCTTCTCGGGTGTTGAAAAGGTAGAGGAAGTACGTCTTAGCCAGCCAAACAAACACAGCTGCAATGCTGCAGCGCTCAACAGTGGGAGGTGTGTGTGTAGGAAGGAGGTGCTGGAATCACAATGGGCGCTAAGCAACCCTCAGAGCACCCAGACTGTCTTTATTAACTGAGTCTTTAATAACTCAAATGCTCATTCATTTTTTGGGGGGAAACTCACAACTCTATTAACTTTTCAAGACCAAACTGCTTTCCAATTTGTGTGTACGTGAGTCTGTACCAGTGACCAAGGCATAGCATGACAATTGTATTGTCTTCCTGAAGACCTTTACCTTACTGTACTGGCTCTCTCTTATCTATAGTGGGGCAATCATGACAGCCTAGTCACACAATTCAGATTTCTGAAACTGATAACAGACCTCTCATATGGCACAATAGCAGAAGTCAGTACGTCAAAAGTGTGTGATTTTGGACACCTGAGGTGTCGTGTTATCTGATATGTGATTCTGTGTGCGATGTTTATAACAGTTATTTTTCTTATATAAAAAAATAATGCCACCTCCGCCTAATCATCAACACACCTTAGGTACTGCTTAATAATATGACTGATGGTGTATAGCTTTAAATTATGAAATGCAAAAACTATTTTCAGTCCTGAAAGTCTCCATAAAAATAAAATCTCACTAGAAGAAGGACATTATAATCATTATCATTATTAGTGTATTTAAACTTCACTGGACCTGTTTAACATTTTGCCACAGAGTGAGGACAGGAAATGATAGGGAGAACTTAAGCCACGTCTCTAACCAGAACAACAGTGTTAATTCATTTGACGAATAAACACATGCAAACAATGCATTTGGTAAGGCATAAGTGGCCACTGTAACTCAATGCATTTTGGTCATGAACTGGTGATGTTAGGAAGACAGGTGTCCTACCTTCATAAAGCTGAGCATACTGTGGAAAACCTGCAGCCCTCAGCCATGTACACGCCTCCTTCGCCTCAATTTCTGTAAGGACAGTGAGAGATTGACATTTAAAATTTATGACAAAATTAAACAGAAAAAAAAAAAAACCCTTATGAGAAGCATTCATAACCAAATCTTTTGAGTGGAAATACTCATCAGCCTTCTTATATACTTCCCTTCTGAGTGCTAGTTATCTTGACTTTTATATACTGTATGTTGACTTTTCAACATGGCGCTATAGTGTAATGTTTGAGACAGCAGTGCTAAGTGGCTATCCAAAGTGGTCAGAACTGTTGTTGGGGAGGTGGAGAGGTGCCACATCCCTGTTCATTAACTTTGAACGGCCCTTTAGACTCCACATGCCAAATGACATACACCATTGAAGGCATCTTGACGACTCCTAGAGGCCCACGTGTTGTTTCACACAACAAGGTGTCAGAATTAGGACTTTTATTAGCAATTCTGTCACTAAAGATGATTCTCTGACTAGCAACACTCGCTCTACTAACACTAAATACTTGCTTGAAATGCTTATACAAAACCAAGGTGAGGTATAAAATTGCAAAACCAGTCCAAGTAAGTTAAAATGGCAAGTTTTTGTTTATTGTACTATGTGATGGTGAATGGGTAGATAAGGATCTCAAAGATTGCTGAACTGAAATCAAGTATCCAAAGTGGTCAGAACTGTTGTTGGGGAGGTGGAGAGGTGCCACATCCCTGTTCATTAACTTTGAACGGCCCTTTAGACTCCACATGCCAAATGACATACACCATTGAAGGCATCTTGACGACTCCTAGAGGCCCACGTGTTGTTTCACACAACAAGGTGTCAGAATTAGGACTTTTATTAGCAATTCTGTCACTAAAGATGATTCTCTGACTAGCAACACTCGCTCTACTAACACTAAATACTTGCTTGAAATGCTTATACAAAACCAAGGTGAGGTATAAAATTGCAAAACCAGTCCAAGTAAGTTAAAATGGCAAGTTTTTGTTTATTGTACTATGTGATGGTGAATGGGTAGATAAGGATCTCAAAGATTGCTGAACTGAAATCAAGCAGGCATGACGCAGGAACTGGCGAGTTACTGAGATCGCAATCATTCCTGATATCCATTGTGCCCTTGAGCGAGGGACTTAACCTCAGGTTGCTCCAGGGGGACTATCCCGTTGGTTAATGCACTTTTGGATAAATGCATCTAAAGTCTTTTGAATTTGTTCAAGTGCTACAGAGACCCTATTAGCGCCCTCTAAAGGTGTAACACAGTTGATGCAGCTCTCCATTGGCACTGCTATGGTCTATCACAAGCAGAATCTACACAATTACAGCTCACAATAGGTCGTAATCAGCAGAGAGGGACCTCTCGCTTTTCTCAACGGCTAATTGTGCACATTCCCGACTCTTAAAGTTCCAATTATTGTAATTGCAATGATTGCGATGATGCCTTGCATAACTGAAAGACCACCTGAGATACTTTCCCCATCATTTCAACCGAAAGAAAAGGAAGCCGGGGATTAGGAGGGGCCGATTGAAAGAGATGTGAGAGAAAGACGTGCATAAAAAGACACTGACAACTTTGCCCAGAGGAAAGGACGCAGACTCTGTCTCTACTACCGGAGATACGTGACTCCCAACTCGAACGAGCGTGAGAGTGACGGCACACATGACAACAACAAAGGCACGCGATAAGGGAGGTCCTCTGCCGGTGGAGAGGGAAGAAGAAAGCAGGAGAGGATCGTGCTTCGACAGCAAGAACGGCAATGCGAAAATAACAGAAGCAATCTGACTCAACTGCACACATGCAATTGTATCTCGAATCCATCTCAAGAATCCGCATGCACATGATGGGATTCCTTTCAAGTGACTGACAGAATTTTGCCCGAAAGCACTTTTTAGAAGTTTGTGAACTTTGAAGAATGTCCTACACTTAAAATAATGACACACTTTTCTGGAATGGTCTGTAATGAGCGCTGTGGCTTCCTGTGTGTAAAGATTGTATGTGTGTGTTTGCACTGGCTAGGCACCACTGAAGACTATCCAGCTGCAAGAATGTTAGAGGACTGTATGTATTTAAATGTAAATGATGGAGAGACACACAAACACACACAGGCTCCACGGCACTGTCTCACCGACTGGCTTTCCCTTTCATTGGCATGGTGCACCCCCCCAGCATCCCAACCACCGCCCCCCTACCCCACATGATTACAATGGGCCGCTGTCACACAGGTGCCTGTCTGACACCAAAGGTAAGTAAGGCTTTCTAACCAGAGATGGCAACACAAAAATCGAGACGTGTGGGATTACTGGGGTCTTTGCTCAGGAGAAGTGTCTAAGACAGCGTTTCCCAACCCTGTTCCTGGAGGCACTCCCAATACTACACATTTTCGAACTCTTCCTAATCAAACACACTTGAACAACACATAAGCACATTAATAGAGACTCCAAGACCTGAGAAGGATGGGTTAGAAAATGGAAACATCCAAAATGTGTACTGTTGGGGTGCCTTCAAGAACAGGGTTGTGAAACACTGGTCTAAGAAACGGTAGACGTCAGCAGAAATATTCACTTAATCTCTTGAAGAAACAGTTGAGATATTAAAAAGATTTGATTTGAGACTTTACTTTCCTTCGGGTAAATTAGTAAGACTTAAGAGTAAACTCGCTAAGCACACTAAAGGATACATTCATCACAGCTGTACACCCAAAAGACACTCAAACATGCTGTCTTTATGAAGATAGATAAGTATAAACACACTTGAGCAGTTGTTCCACACTCTATCACACTGCTGGATGTCACGCAGATGAGCTCAGGCTGTTGACACTGTATTTTCGCTATCTCAGCACTCAAAGCAATACACACATCCGTGCTTAATGTTCGAATATGGGCCGCGAGCATAGAGTTGCGCACGTCGCATCCTGTGTTCTCCCCGCAAGTCTGTGTGGATCCCCACGCCAGGCGCGACCACACTTCCCTTGCCCTTCCGAGGCCGACAGGAAGCCAACAAGAACGGCTCATTCCACGGTTGCTATGGACACTTTGGAGGACACACCTCCTTTTGTTCAAGGCCAGATAATGGAGGCCTTCAGCGCCAACACAAACACCGAGAACGCCTTACATCCTGTTACACACACACGGATTGTTGAACATTCGACCTCAGAGAGAATGTGAAATAGGTTGAAACACTCCAGTAAAGTAAACAGCCTTTGATTCTTTCTTGATTGTAAGGTACATGCGTTTATATTTAAAGGAAACAATAAATTTTAGTTACAAACACATCAGATTGAGTAACTGAACTAACATTGTGTTGAAAGCCAGATTGACGTCAGTATTACTTCACAGAGTTGGACGTTGTAGCACTTTTTCCTCTTAATATGACGCACAGCATGTTTCCAAGCCAAAAAAAAAAACATATCCCAGAAGGCCTACATATGTCATTATTTCATAGATGTTAATTATTACGCAAGTCATGGGTCACCTAAATTAATTTAGCAACAGCTTACAAACTAATATACATAGTCATTATGGAAAAAAAAGTGACATCATTGAGAATTAAAGTTAAAGTTTTTTTTTTTGTTGATGGCCAAATCTAGATCTCATGCTGGTGGATGGTCGATATAATGCTGATATGTAATAATATATAAAGACAGAAGATGAGATGTACAAAATAAATAAATAAATGAATAAAATTGTTGGCTCAGTGGTAGAGCATTGCATTAGCAGCGCAAAAGGTCGTGGGTTCAATTCCCAGGGAACACACATACTGGTAAAAAATGTATAGCCTGAATGCACTGTAAGTCGCTTTGGATAAAAGCATCTGCTAAATGCATTAATTATTAAATTATATATACATACATTTTAGCTGTGCAAAAGAAAAAAAAGCCTTTCCTTCCTTTTCTCTGAAAACCACACTCTTTCGTCATATAGTTTTGATTTAGTGTTTTAAAACAGTGCAAAACAAAAGGGAACCAACAGTCATCACCGTCCCCTCCCATCTCTCTTCCTCTCTTTATCAGCCTTAATCTACAACCCATCTGCTTCATATCTTGGTGCCAGCTATCTAGTGGATGCATGACCTGCGACTTCTGCAATGCCACGGTGACCTGAGTTGAGCACACAGGATGTCTGGGCGGCATCCGTCACAGAAATATGTACCTTTGTGTGTTTTTTCCTTTTATCAAAGTGTACAGTATTCACTCCACCTAATGCTTCTGTTTGTATCAAAGGAATGAAATTTTGATTTATGTTGATGAGAGACAATGGAATAAAAAAAAAGAGACAGACAAGACAAAGAGGCAGACTACAGCCTCCAGACCCAGAGAGAGACGAACAGACGTAATCTCTTGGGAGAATGTCCCTATGAACCCGGCCAAAGTTGAATGCCTGCTAGCTGAACCTTCTTTGCCTCTTCTAAAATTAACCTTCCTCCTCCCTTTCTTCTTCCTCCTCTCTTCTCTCTCCTCCTCTTCCTCTTTTTCCTGTCACAGGAAGTTCTCACAATCGCTGGCCGATGGTTCCTCAGCATGGGAGGGAGGAGGTGGAACCTGTGTCTATGAATGTGTGTGTGTGTAAGCGAGTTTATGTAGTTAGATCTCTCTGCTATGAAAGCAGAATCCAACACTCTTAAAAATAAAGATACCAAAACTGGGTTTTTGTAACAATGCCATAGAAGAACCATCATGGCTTCCCTAAAGAACCTTTCCGTGATCAGTTCTTAGAACCATTTTTTTTTCTTAGCATGAAAAACATTTTAATAATTTGAAGAACTTTTTTCCCCACTATAAAGAATATTTTGTACAATTGAAAGGCTCTATGGATATTAAACGTTCTTCATGAGCTCAATACAGAACTTTTATTTTTAGGTGTGACTGTGAACCCAAATTAATTTTGTAGCTTGGTGTCAAGTATATGTGGGTTCATTTGAAGGCTTTTTGAATCTGTAAATTGTGCTATTCTAGTTAAAGAGGCCCTGTTTCAAATGAATAGCAAACAAACATCAATATCTAGCCTTTGAGTGGAACTACGAGGAATTTTTTTTCAGCAATTCAAGTGACCTGATGTCCTATTTGCTAAACTGCCTGCAAGACACTGGGCTCTTTATCTTTCATCTTTCCACACATAGACTTTAAATCTGCATATCAAGAGCAGTCATACATCATTTGTTGAGGATCACGCATATCATATTTTGGCATGGCCTTCTACAGACATATGGGGGTAGTGAGGGAGAGTCAGGTAGCTCTGAAAATGAGAAGATCCCCTCCATCTGGCCACAAACACAGGGGATCATGGGGTTACCCCATCACCACCGCCACTCAACACCACTATCCCAGCCACCTACACTCTCTTTGGCCAGATGGGTCCATTTATGTCTGTCTTTAGATTTAAACATTAGCTATCACTGACCTGGAGCTAGCTTGGCCGGGTCTGGTTACTGGCCACTTTGTGCAATGCAAGGCTGATCTCAGGTCAGATGATTAGATACGCTCAATGATATGCCACCCTATCCATTCCATCTATGATCAAAAGATTACTTAAAGAGGTGAAGAAAGAGAGAGCCTCCTCTAATATCACAGGGGGCTTCTTAAGCACCAACTGGTCCAAAAGCAACAGCAACTAGTTAAAGCGTTTAGCCTTACATAGACTAAATCCCAGCAATCAGACCGTTTTCAGGAGGCAAAATCTGTCCACACTTACATACATTTTTATATGAAGGTTTCAGTGGATTTGGAGCCATGTGTAGCGTTAAGAATGTGTGTTTGAGTCTGAAAGCTCTTTACATGTATGTCCATCATGCTCATGCACCAAAAACCATGATTGTAGATTATCAGGAGTTGCATATCAACTTCAAAGTGACATGTTTTAAGCATGACATTCTTTTCTTTGACTCCTAACTGACCTGCTTACTGCCTTATCACCTGAAGTTAACATGACCCCAAGTTTATCGACCTCTGCTAAACTAGAAAAGAAAAATGTCAGACACAGAATCTCCTACAACAACATAATACTTTAAAACATTGTATTCTTTTTAGGAATGCAAAAAGGAGGTTGTAATTCTGAGCTTGGCAAACGGTCTGAGATAAATTCTGCAACTGAATTTCGCTCTTTTATAGTTATGGGTTATTGTAACTCTAAACTAGCTAATCATAAAGATGTTTTAAATAAAACAGCTTTATAAGTTTTAGATATATTTAGTCAAGAGAGATACGATTTGTGATGTGTAAATCTATAAATAAGGAGATAATGTCAGTACTTATGCTTTAATTGTTGGTCCGATACTGATCCTAACAGAAAACTCTCAAGCAGAGGACTGTTGCTATGGTGACCTCCTCAGGCAATCACGACTTCTGCTGGTTAGTGTCCATTTAGCGCATTCTGGCTAACTTTTACTCTAACTTTGGCTATTGAATTTACAATCTATTTTTGTTTACTGGAGCGCTGTTTAAAAACACTGCTAAAACGTCAAAGTCAAAAACCCCACTCCTCTACATGAGAAAAGATGCAGGAATGCGCCTTCAGAGAACAGCAGGCTCTCCACGCGCTCTTTGGCAATGCCAGATTATAGCAAAACCTCCCCCAATTCTCTGCATTTAGACTGAATGAAAATGTAGACCAACACTGACGAAATCTTATCTCCGAACTGTGTGAAATCAACGCAAAACCAATGGAGACTTGTCGAGATTAGGGTAGCGCGTTATCGGACAGCCTGGAGCGCCGGTGTTCTGACGAATAATGCTACCTATCAGATTATGCAACCAACACTGTATTTATCCTACTGTAAGGGTAGGTTTAGGGTTGGGGTAGGTGTACATGTTAATAAAGCCTCACACCTTATTAATATCATGCTGGAAGCAAAATCTGATAGGTAGCACTTTTCGCTATCGAATTATGCTACCATCTGTTTTAATGGGAGCTAGCAAAATCGGACAGGGTAGCACAAATAGTCAGAACCGACGAAACATGCTACCTATCAGATTGTGCTATCAAAAATATATTTGCATTGTTTTAAGTAGGGATGTAACGATTAACCGCGAGCCGGTTGAAAATCGATTCAAATATGTGACGATTCAAATCGGTTGAGATGCTAAACAAATCGCGATTCAATTAGGGGTAGGAGTTTATATGAATGTATGTCTGAGGGGAACTTACTGTCTTTAGAAAAGTTTAGATGGTATTTTTTCTTTTCATCTTGCATCTAGTTCATATGTGCAGCGCTTCTTTGTTTACAGCGGAAACGCTTTAAGCGCCACCTGCTGGCAGAGAGTGAATCTGCGTCTCATTCAGCTCTGCTGTTTCTGTTTCATGCAGATATTTTTTATGTATAGTTTCACAAAACTGAACTCAAACCATTCTGTTTTTGCTTCAAATTTCAAAATTATACAATCTAATTTAGATTAAAAACTGCTATAATTTGTCATTTTGTAAAAAAATAAATAAATCGTGAATCGAATCAAATCGAATCGTGAGTTGAGTGAATGGTTACATCCAGTTTTAAGGGTAAGGGTATAGGGACGGGTAGGTTTCGGGTAGGGGTAGGTATGGACATTAAAAAAGCCTCAAACCACATGAATAAGATGCTGGTAGCACAATCTGATAGATAGCATTTTTCGCTATCGATTTGTGCTACCTATCTTTTTAATGGGAGGTAGCACAATCTGAGCGGGTAGCACAAATCGTCAGAACACCGGCAGCGGGTGAAATGTATCTCACGCACCACCCAAATAATTGCACTCTTAAACTTTAGGAAGAGATGAAAATCTAAAGCGGAATAACTAAGAGAGAAGGAAATTATATAGCACTACAGTCATTCCATATTTAACATACCATTTCAGCTTCTTAATCTGTTATAATTATGCTTCACTGACATGTACTCTAGAAATGCACCCTCAAATGAAACTACAAACAAAAATACTTAATGACCATTTTAAACAGCTATTTATAATGTCCATTAGCCTATCATTCGTTGTTGGACGATGATGCTAAAATGTTATAACCGTTGCTATATGGCTGAATAGTGACTCTTGAATTGCAATCAGCAGGGTTCGAACCTGCAACGGATACCAGTTTAGCTTGTTTCTTACAAATGCTACAGGAACTAAAATAGACATAGCTACAAGTTGAATATAAATCCATATGCAATAGCTGTTACAGGCAAATGCAAAATAAACATTGATAACTTCTGTCAGGCATTAAGATTATCTGACTGAAATTTGTAGGATAATTATTACTGATATCAAACCTTGTTAGTATACCTTGTTAGTTTGATATCAAACCTTGTTAGTATAAGCTACGACTTACAAGGCATAAACAACAGGAATAAATGTAGATCTTCAATATGTTATTATGACTGTCACCACTCAAGTCAATCATTCAAACTATTTTTGCTGTCGTTTAAGCACATCTTGATATGTCATATGCCATGTCATTCATATATGGATTTAGCAACATCTAATCTAATAATCCATATTGATTTTGGTGGCACCAAATGACAAAAGTTTAAAACGGCAGTTCAAACGTGATTCTTTGGAATGGACGTTGCGTCTAAACGGCTTAAGAAAAAAAAAACTCAATAGACAAACAAGTTTTCTTAAATAATTAAAGTTAATTAAGCAATGAAGCTATTATAAAACATAAGTACTTACGAGTAAGGATCATGTTTTGTTTTCTATAAATCGCGATAGCCCCGCTGCGATATGCTTCACGAGTCCTCTTCGTTTTATTCCAACATTACAGCGAAGCTCTTGTGGTATTCCAATAAGAGGTGAATTCGCAAATAATATTATTTAAAAAAAAAACACTAGTTCCTCCGAGCTAAATAACGTTTATAGAAGGTCCAAATACCAAATAGAAAAAAATAAATCCATGACTGATTTCCTTTCCTTTCTGCTCAGGGGAAAAAATCCTCACTCCACCGGAGAGAACTGTTTGAAACGCCTGTGAACGGTCTGGCCCGCGTGTGTTAGTGTGAATGAACAGACTGATACACTGTTTAGGAATGGGAGGCTGGGAGGCTGGGAGAAGACTCCACCTCCCCGCCCAGGACAGCCTCAGGTGGGCTTTCGCTGCTTTAGACGGGGAGGTGGAGCTACTATTCCATTCCCAAAGCCTAGCCTACTTTACTGGAATGATTGTTTACAACCGAGACTGTTAGCCTTCCACAGAATTATGCACACAATAAAATCAGTATAAAAATGTATAACTAGTAAATTAAACATTCAACAACACAGCCTATATCACAAGACAAAATGCACATTAAGATCAATAACATACAACGAAAAATTAATTGACTCGGTTCTTTTAAAAGAAAACCAAATAAACAAGTGTAATCCGATTCAAATAACATAAAATCAAAAAAAAAAAAAAAAGTTGCAGTCATAGTTTACTGAACGAATCCCTTGTTGAACCGATGCAACTAGTAGCCTAATAAACTGAATAATTGCAAATCGTTAAAACGTGTTTTGATTTCATATAAGGCTATTCATTTAATTTACAGAAGAAAACGTGTAGGCTATTGCGCAATTCTTGTACCGGCAGTAAAGGGGAAAGTGAGGTTCTCTCAATTCCATCGGTGTCACTTCTTGTCATCTTCACTAGCCTACTTAAGGCTGATTTATACTTCTACGTCGGACCTACGCTTAGAGCTACAGAAAGCGAAATTTAATTTAGGACTAACAGTTAGCCTACGTTCAGATGCTAAAGGAATTCATACCTCGATAAGCCACACGCAGCCGTAGGCCTATACATTAAATGAATAGGAACTCAAATTATAAAAAAATACAATGATTAATTAATACAAAATTAATTTAAAAAATAAAGATATACAAAAATTACTGAGAGGAGGTGCTCTACCAACAATAGAGGAGGTGCAACGAAAAATCAAATAGCCATATCAATTGAAAAAGGTGCAGTTGCAATCAAACTTTATTGATTAAAATGACGTTTCGGCCGTTATAAAGGCCTTCATCAGATATCATATATATAATTAAAAATAAAGATAATCATAACCTCTTGTGCGCATAACGCATCACCGATTTAATTAATTCACGTTTACTTAAAGTTTGCTGAAAAAAATAATATACAGCAAATCAATCTGATTTTGAATCAATCAATTTTTCTTTCTTTCTTTTTTTTTTTTTTTCAAGCGGAATCTAAATCATCCAAAAGTGAGAGTGAGCTGAAATACTGCTCATTTGGCTGTATGACATTGTTTGGTACTTGACTACTTTAAACTGTAATTAAAATGGCGCGCCGTTAGCATATCATTAGAAGTCTCCATTAAGGAGTGGGGCCGTCTGAAAGCCGCTATTGTTGGACATGATGTTGTGAAAGGGGAAGACAATGAGTCCGTTCTATGGTAATTCCAACAAGCCCCATCAACAGGCGTCCCTGATCCTCGTCTGTTCCCGCACGCACGCACGCACGCTCGCTCATAGATGCAACGGTGCAACAGCAGCTTTTACACAGAGCAAGACCTTCTATTGTGTGAGGAGCTCTTATTGAGATCAAACAAGCTTATGGTCCTCTCTGAAGCTTCCTGCTTTAGAAGTCAAAAGAAAGTCATGTTCACTTCCTTTTACGGGCTCAATTAAAATTATTACAAAGCCTGATGGAGACCACTATATTCATGCAAGAGAAGTCAGTAGATGTTTTATGATTATAATTAAGCTATGTTTAGAATGGAATAGGCTAGTTGGTCTAATGGTTACAGAATACTATTCTGACTAAAATTATTTTAATATATATACTGTATATATATATATATATATATATATACACACACACACACACACACATTATATATATGTAAATGATGACTTTTTGATGCATGTGAAAGTTTTTTTTCTTGTTCTTGTCTATGTTGCTGTTGTCATAATTTCAGGAGTGACTCACAGAACAAATTAGTGGATTCACTCCCATAATTAAATGTGGTTGTCACTCCTAAACTTTGAAATTCTGAAACATGATATACAAAACTTTTCTTTAAAATATAACTGGATTATAGAAAGCGAGCAAGGAGTGCTCCATTTATTGCATGACTGACTGAGCTCACTTGCTTGAAAACTCCTGTTATAATCAATGAATCTAACTACAAACCGCATATCTCTTATTTACATTGTGTCTTATAATGAGAGCATTTGCAAGAGTGTAGAATTAAGCCATTAAGCAGAATTCAGAATTAAGTAAACTTGTGAAAACAAAAACTCATTTAGGTTTTTGAGGATTCTGAGTAATAAACACCTTTGATTGACCATTTCTTTTAAGAACTCACTGGATGTACACAACTCACACACATTACCTATTTTGGATTCAAGAAGGCACATTTCACTGAAACGTGAAAAGTTTGCATCCCTGTTTATCTCACTCCCTGCATTGTAACACACAAACCTCCCATACAGTATGCAAAAATACCTGAATTACTGAATCTGCAGAGATTTTGAATTGTATAATCAGTGCACACTATGCTATCCCAAAAGGCCATAGGAGCTGAGGACCTGAAACATACACATTTTACATTGTACATGTTATACACCGATTAAAAAAGTATGGAATATGCTGACCATAATCTCTGCAGTTTCTCTTGTCTGGATCTGTAAAACAGTGTGGCGTGTGTCTGACTCACAAGGAAAAACTTATGCAGTATTACTAGGGCAATTGCCTTTACTTGTGGAATCTTTATCTCAGCCTTTATTCCTCACTCTCCAGAAATTCAGCTGTATTCAGACATGCCAGAGAGAATGAGTGAGAGAGACGTGTGTGGTTTTGGAACTGACTCATCAGATTCATCACTCTTTTCCTATCTCTGTCTGTTATTTTTATGTCTGCCCCTCCTGTTCTTTTTTCACAGTCTGGTAACACAAAAAAAAAGTTCACAGATTGTTTAACCTGTTTTTGTCCATATAATGAAACAAAACAGCACTGGATCGCACTGAATAGGATAGAAAGATCGACAGACAGACAGACAGACAGACAGACAGATAGATAGATAGATAGATAGATAGACAGACAGATGTTAAAATAAAAAAGATAAACAACTTTTAATTTTCTTTGAATTGACAAAAATGAATGAATTATTCAATGAATCAATGAATGAATCAATATTTAACACTTTTTCAAAATCCGAACCTGTGTTATACAGAAGTAAGTCATATATATGTTTATAGATTTACCATTAGGATAAGTAAATCATAAAACAATTAGCTTTTTTGAATGCACTATTCCACATTTTGTGTGTGTTGGCAATAAAACAGACAATGGCTACTATACTTAAAAGTTCACCCATGGTTTGAGCTGAAATCCCAACTGCTAAAAATGTGCACAGAAAAGGAAATGGAAATGGCCTGAACTGAAATTATATTTTGTGGACATTATATTTAGCAGGGTGCCATTGCAAATTAAAGAAGCATATAAGAGACGCCACCCTAGCACTGTCTGAAGTTCACCGGATCCTGTACTTCTTCTACTCCCACAATGCTTTGCCTTTCACAGAAACAGAACATATGATCACCACTGAGGATTTAGAAGTTAGTATTTTTATGTGAGTGTGACACCTTTATTTTTATACTGGTTCATCCAGGCTATCTAGTTTGGGTTCATTTCAGTTCTTATTCTATATACTAAAGGCTGTAGTATAAATGAATACTTGAATGCATCTGTGTGCATGCTTCACAACAAACCACTACAGTAAATCCCAAAGTAGGGTGAGCTACAGAAGAATAGAACTGTTATTATCAGCTATTTATAAACCAGCACAGGCTCAAAACAATCAGAAATAGAACCGAGCAGGTGTGAGCATGTGCATTTCTAAGCTGTGGAAGTAAGCTGATGTATTTTTGTTTGCGATTGTGCATGCTAAACAAATGAGGACCTTGTGCATTAGTACATAATGCATTTCACCAGACCACATGAGCTGGATATGTATATACAGAATGTGCCAGTTTTAATATCCAGAGGATAAAAACAGGAAAAAGCCACAAACACACACTGGTACCTCTTGCCCTGTTCTTACTGACACATCCAAGCCTCTTCCACTTCCACACAAACACACCTACACTGACAGCAACAAAAGTACACATACACACATTTCCTAATTCTAAAATATATATATTTTTTATTTTCAACAATTCTAAAAGACATCTCAAAATAGCTTTTTTTTTTTTTTTTTTTTTTTTTTTTTTTTTAATTATTACCTTTACACTATAGATCCTAAAATTGTAATTTATGTGTTTACTTGAAATATATTTCTAAAGTATTTAATTTTTTTTAAAATTATTTAAAGGTCATCCAATAACACTTTACAATAAAGTCTCATTTGTTAACCTTAGTGAACAAACTAACCGTAACTTGAACTAGCAATGAGCATTATATTTTCATAGCCTTTATTAATCTTTATTATTGTTAGATGATAAAAATACAATTGTTCTTTGTTCATTAACTAATGTTAACAGATAGAGCTTTTGCTCTATATTAGCAAATGTTGAAATTAACATCAACTAGATGAATACATTCTGTAGAATAATTGTTTATTGTTAGTTCATGTAAACAAATTACACTTTATACTGTAAAGTATTACCATCATTATCATCCAATTAGATTTGACAGTAAATAGCCACAGTTCAGTCCAATGTTTACAAATATTAATACATTCATATAATTTGTACAAAGGAATTCAATAATAAAAAATAAATAAATAAATAATTTCATTATACACCGCTGTTCAAAAGTTCGTAGCCATAATATTTTTTATGTTCTTGAAAGAAGGCTGCATGAAAGTAATATTGTGAAATATTATTAGAATTTAAAATAAATGTTTTCAAATTTAATATATGACAGAATGCTATTTATCTTTTAATGCTATTTTCTAAATGTATTTCTGTGATGACAAAACTGAATATTCAGCAGGCATTATTCCATATTGTACACAGCTGTTATGGAGATATATACAGAGTGCA